ATAGATAGATAGATAGATAGATAGATAGATAGATAGATAGATAGATAGATAGATAGATAGATAGATAGATAGATAGATAGATAGATAGATAGATTTGTTTCTTTTTCATGCTATTCCCTGCAAGCAGGCACTTTAGGTTAAATGTAGCTAAACCTTATTCATTCCCATAACATTTACAATTCTTTTTTTATTTACCTTCAGATAGCCTGTCCTTTTAGCAAAGCATTGATTTTCTCATGCTCCTTTTTTAATTTCTATATTTATTTTTCTCCCATAACCATCTCATTATTATAACTGCAATAAATTACCAGGCTTTGCCTCTACACCCCGTAATTTATTGACCTCATTAGCCAATGGGCAAATCTTTTTTTATTTGTTTATTTCCTGCTCACTGCAAGTGAGCCAACAGTTCAACGTTTGTATATATGCAACGTTCTTTTTCCACAGGGCGACAGCTCACAATCTTCAACAGCCAAACCACCATACAGATTGGGGGCTGGGAYCGAGATCGGAGTCGGTCCTTTCAGGGGCAGCTTTCAGGCCTCTACTATAATGGCTTGAAGGTGTTCAACATGGCCGCCGAGGGGGACCCCAACATAAAGATCCAGGGCAGCGTGCGGCTCGTGGGGGAGTCGCCCTTCTCCATCACGCCGCAGTCGAGCACCACGGCCAACCGCTCGGAGACGTCCACGTCCATCATGGAAATCACCACCACCACCGCYTCCAGCAGGAGAGTCAAGCAGACAACGCCACGAGAGCCTCAGCAGGTAGGATCCTCTTTCAGTCTTTTAGAGACCTTTGCACTTTTTGTAATCTTGAAACGGAAGTTGAACCTTTTTTACGTTATTATACTTTGGCACATTCCTAACTACATACATGCGGGGAATACAGTACATTGTTTTGCGTGTGTGTTGATGCCTTTTTGTAAGTCTTTGACCCAAAATATGAGTAAAATATCAGTTTGTCCACATTTCTTCCATTTGCAGTAGGATATCGCACTGAGATCTGCATTTGATGTGTGRTTGTGTCTGTGTGTGTGTTACCATCTTAAGTTCTGTATCATATTTATGTGTGGTGTGAGCAGTGCATCTACAGCATACTACATCTCAAATGTCAAAAGGTGTGAACAAACAATGCCACACAGAACGTATCTTTGTGCATTTTTTAACCCAATAGCAGAAGGTAGTCTTACAAGTAAGGAGCATTCAAGTGCAGATAACATGCTATTTGAAGTATTTGTTTTATTGTAACTAGATTAAGTTCATATATAGTGTGATACTGTCAGTACATACTCAAGCTGTCTTATGGAAAATTAGAATGAATTGTGCAAAAACCCATAAATCATGCAAACACTTGAGCCTCCAGTTTTGCTTTTACACAAATAGGTCCTTTTTACAACAAAATCATGACCATAAAAAGCTAGAACACACTCCTTCGTTTCCCATATTCCAAGACTCATTGACAGGAAATACTTGGAATTTTAAACATCTCCAGAGAGTAAAGAAGCCCTTCAATCAAGGCTCAATCAGCTGCCTAATCATCATCTTAATCTCTTTACAAATATAGTTTCAAATTTTTTCCGGATTAAACTTATTTTGGTTTAATGAGGTTGGATGGAGTGAAAATATAGCATCAGAAGGTGGATTAAACAATGTATTTTTTTTTGTATATTTATATTTAGCTGTGAACAATGCTTATGAATTAACAAATGGTTAAACATTATTTTTAAAATGCTGTTTTCATCTTAGGTGAGTTAGTAGTTCACTGATAAACTAAAATATGATAATAAATAACATTTTAAAATAAAATAGCTGGACGTGCTTTAGTGTTATCTGACCTGAGAAC